TTTCCTTAACGCCCCCCAATTCTCTTTGAGCCTTCTACTGCCCCCCCCCTGAAAGCCTCCAGCGCCCACAAGGGGGCGTTATCGCCCACTTTGAGAAACGCTGTTCTAAACCTTTGCCCCATCTGCACCAAATTTTTCATATTTATTCTCTGAGATAACGAGGAAAATCTATAGATTATCACGTGACTGTCATTTGACTATAGAATTTTCATGAAACTATTCTATTATGAAGTTATTGGTGACTGAAAAATACTTGAAATCCCATTAAAAAAATTGGTGAAACAAGGTTGAAAAAGTAAGGCTCAGTAAAAACATCTAAAATAAAGAAAATATTTAGGATATTTTAATATTTTTCAATTAAACCTTTTTTTTTCTTGCTGTCGAGCCCCACTCAAGTTAATCATTAGGCCTCTAAGCCCTAATGATTAATCCACCACTAATTATATTAAATGATTTTACGATCTACCACGAACAAGCAGCGTCAATTTCAATAACGTACTTTCGGATAATTCATTTATTTATACATTCAACTGATGGTAGTGCCGTACAGCATAAGTTCACCATCCCCCACAAAAAGTATACAGAACCAATAAAAGCTACGAGAAAACGAACTGTATCTAGTTTTCACACTTAGATTTGTTAGATACAAATCATAATACAAAAGATTTTACGTATAAATGTAAATGTAAAGACATACTACGATTAAGGAAAAAAACCGCTATCGTCTAGAGAAGGCATGAACAACCATTTTCTACGTAAAAAATAACGATAAAATTTTTGCTGCATACTTTCTTAAATTGGGAAATTGATATATTTATTAATATTTTGTGTGATGCGGGCCGCAGATTGCTCACCCCTGGTCTAGAGGACAAAGAAAAATGACGGGAAGATAAATGTCAAGTTGAATTATTTTAGAAAACTATAAATCTAAATATATAAAATTACTTGTCCTGACTGACTGACTGACTAATTCATCATCGCCCAGAGCAAACCGCTGAACCTAAAGAGGTGAAATTTGGTACATAGCGTACGTCATGAAAACGCGCACTAAAAAGGGATTTTTCGAAATTCCTAGGCGGAGGGGAGAGGGAGAGGATTAAGGCTTAACCGGAAGAACGGCTTCTACTGTACTATTTTAGATGCGATTTTTTTTGTTTTTAATTACGTTTAGTCTTCATTGAGTACTTAGGTGTATTAAATTGATAACATTTCAGACATTGTTATAAATATTTTTGTCTATTTCGATTTTAAAAATGTTCGAACCGTTTTAAATTCGAATTTCTTTTTGCATATTGGTTCGATTGTAAACGTTCCAGAAAATTGATCAAATTTAAAATAGTTCGTTTGATTCTCGACAATTCTCATCATTCTCAGCGGTAGGTGTTATATAACAATTACTATGGTTGTTGAAATACTGAATATAAATGGGGTTTGCTTGCAAAACCTCCGCGGGCGAAGTCGCGGGTAACAGCTAGTCATTTAATATAGGCACAAAGCTGTATCTATTTTTAATTAAAAGAACATTTTATAAATAAATACAGTATTGTAAGTTCGCCGATTAGGAGGGAAGTTTTTATTCCCTACCGTCGGGATGGCTTAAGGTCTTTTCGTATGTGACTGGCGGTTTGGAGGAGGCAGAAAAGACAAGCGTTTCACAAAGAAACCGTTTATTTATGACGAATATGCTTACATGAGATTATCAAGATCCTGGGGTTCGAAGCTCTGTGAGTTGTCTTCAGGTTCCTTTCTTTTCGTTCTGGTCCAACGCTGACAGAGCCCCGGGCGGCGACAGTTTAATTAATGTTCGCAATCGGGAGAACCAGCACCAAACAAAAAAAAATTAACGGACGTGATGTTAAACATTTAGACGGATATAAGCAAAGTTTCTCTAGAACTGCAAAATCTTAGATCTGAAAATGAGCTTTGAAATCATAAAAATCATAAGGTGGAATTAAATTTTCCACGTAATTCTCAATGCAATTCTTTTAATTTATATGAATTATAATTAAATCCTATATACTCTCTTTGAAGATAAATCATTCATTATCTTCGTGCAACTTCTATGTTGTCACTGTTCGTAATTTCAAATAACAGTTCTCCTATCAGCCATTCAACAAGCTTTAGATCAGCGTTCTTCAACCTTTTCACATCTGCGGACCGGTAGAAGTATAAAGATAATTTTCTTAGAATTAAACTGGCCCTAACAAGACGTTAATTACTGTGTATTGCAATGGTGTTGCTTTCCTTCGCACATCGATCACTCGCTCTCCAGAAAACCAAAACTATACAAAATAATAAGTGTACTAACAAGGGGACCTTACGGTCTCGAAAATTCAGTTCGGGATGAGACTTTGCAGGTTAGTAGTATCCCTCAAGGGTGTCCACCCAGAAGAATTGTAAAGCGCACTAGCAACAAGATTCCGAAAAAAAAGGCTCTAAAGTTTTAAGCGCAGCTCATATACCGATCGATTTTACACTATGGCAGCACAGCGAAATGGCTGAGCCTGTAGCGAACTCGCTTGCCACGCGGACGATCTAGGTTCGATTCTACCTTCGGCTACCTTGTTACTGGGCAGGGTTTCAGAAAATGTGACTGCAAATCTAAATGTACCACAAATAGGCGTGCTTGTCGCAAAAACCAACTGCTATGTAATTCAAAGTGTCACCAATCTTTAGATTGTACTAATAAGTAAGTACAATTTTATCATGTTTTGCAAATTCATTTCCCTAATAGTAATAATATTTTAAACCGTTTGATTTTTGTATTAAAGTTTTTTTAATTGATTGATGATTGATTCAATCAACTAATTTGTTAATTGTTTGATTGTATTAACTTGATTTTTTAGATATTGAAAATTAAATAAATAACATTATGTTAATTTAAGCGTACAGAAACGTTGCTGTTGTTCCAGCAAAAATCTTATTTTCATTTTACCGAGTGCCTAGTAGGTAATGTGCAGATTACCTAGATACTCTGCGCATTACCTAGGTGATTTGAGAAATAGAACAATTTTAGCAACTTTAACGGATCACCGTAGTTAATGTGCAGATTAGCTAGGTAATGTGCACATTAACGGATTTCGAGCTTTAGCGGTAACATATA